TGGATGTTGAATGGAAGGCTTAATTGCTGAGTTGGAAGAATTGATTTCTTAATGGGAGGTTTGATTGCCAAATGGAAGGCTCGATTAGTGAATGGCTAGGTCCAAGTGGGAAGCGTCAGTACCAGTTGGTTTTCCTTGAAATATGATAATTTATTTTGTGTACGCATTTTCTAATCCTTTATGAAGATAAGCATCGTTGAATAGCAGCCTCCAGCGAGGCATAACATTGTCTTGTTATCTACTCTATTCTCCTTTACTATCTTAGAACTCATGATGCTAAAATATCTTGAGTAAATTGATATTCGTATTGAGGAACTGATATTAGATAAAAGAATCATAATTTCTGATTGCTATGGGTATCACCAAATATCTATAAGTTATTGATACTATAGTTTACAGTCCTATTTTGTGTGTAAAATAAATGTAATTGTGTTTTCCTGTCATTTTCTTTTTTTTCCAAGGGAAACATTTATTTTCAAATATACCATTTATATAACCTTTATTTATATTTAGATTAAATATTTCAATCATAGCCCGGTGAACTTTCATAATTATTTCGTTGGCTTTGGCCATTATGGATTTTGGTAGAATTTAGTTAGGGTTTTACATTTTGATTTGATATTTTACTTCTTACCTACTCTATTTTTGGGTGGGTGGGGGAGCCTTAATTTCATTTTATATTTTGGAACACCTATGGTGATACATTGATCCTGTACATATATTAGGCGAAGTCCAGTGCTACTCTTCTCAATCAATGGATTGATTCCAAACTGTTCTGCATTTACTTTTACTATCATTTAATATATTTGAAAGGTGACCTGCTGTGATGCCACTGTTTGATTTGATGTATCTCCAAATCTGCTCGCTAAGTAAGTTCAATCTGTTAACTTTTAGAGAGAAGCCACTGTGCAAACCTGCTACACCACTCAATGGATTAATAAACGAGTGCTTTGCTGGTTTGTTTCATGTGTTTCAATCCATCAACATAAAACATGATCTACAATTGTATGTTCTACTGATCTGTAGTTTCATTAAAAATCAGAAGTAGTTAAATCAAATGTTGATCCATTAGAATAGCATTCAGGATTGTAAATTGATTTTATTCATGTTTTTAAAGTAGAAGAAGTGATTTTGTATGGAATTAATGAAACACATTTCGCTAATAGGCAACTTGCTATTTTTTAACATTTTAATGTGCTTTGGAACCCTTGGAAAAAGGTGCAATAGAAATATCATTTGAATGTACAGTATATCAGTGGCATGTATTAATGAATTATTTACATTATCCAAGTAACTTTTACAACCATGAGGTGCTGTAGGATTCAAGTAAAGCAAGTTGTCTGTATAAAAACTTAAAAACTAATTAATTCCAATATGTTTCATATCATGATGCTTTCTAAATAAAATATAAAATTTAATAATATATGTATGATTTTGGAGCTTAAGTTTTGGTATATTTCATTTAATTGGTCCAAAGAACAACAAAAATGACAAACACAAAAAAAAGTAGAGAAGAATTGCCAAAAAGTGAATTAAATCACTGCTAGTGGCTGTCCAATGCCTGTGAGAACATAAAGTAGCATGAAATATTCAAGTAAAAATATTAAAGTATATAAAATATATGTAGAGTACAATTATCTGAATATAACTAATATATCTGATTCTTAGAATACAGTATGTTGCCTTTGAGTAGTATTTGCTATCTTAGCTTTTCTTCATGTACTGCCACCTTACTGAGGATTACTGATTCAGTTCAATTGGATTCTGTAATCCAGTTCAATCAGATTGATTTCGTTCAACTGTATTGCTTTATTCTAAGCCTGTTCTCAGGAAAGATAGCATGTCACATGGAAGATGGTCCCTGTGCCCTGGCAAACCTCCTTATGCCCTGAAACAAATATCCCTGCGCAAGGAGAAACATCCAAAACACATAAGAACAGTTTAGGTTAGATAAAATTCCCAGGCTTAATGTAAAGGCAACATAATCACAAGGGAGACTGCCCTTAAGCCTAGAAAGAAGATATTAAGTAATAACTGTATACCTAAAGCAAACTCCTGTCAGCATTTGAAATGTTACCTAGATTGTTAAATCCTTCGTAGGCAGTATGGTACACACTGTTGCTGATTTATTGACAAAGATGTTCTTTGATGGTTTTTTCCTGAGATACTAACCACTGCAGACATGCATAATTCAACATAATTCAACATTGAATCTGTCCTCATCACGTTCAAATTCTATTCCTTCTGCTGAAATCAGTCTTTTTAATCCGTTCTATCGTACATTTACGTATTGTATTGAAATAATATTAATTTATAATGAATCTTGTTTGTGCAATGATGCATTGGTTTATATTGACACCTGGATGAACAATGCTTCCTGAATTTAAATAACTATATTTGCATTGACACTTGTATTATTATTGTCACCTGGGTTTATTTTGACAGATCTAAGCTGACACCTGGATTCTGAATATTAAGTTGAATGACAGAGTATCTGAATGTGCATAATATGTCCTTGAAATGACACCTGTAATTTTAATATTTTGCCTTTTTTTGTGGTTTTAAGTTACTTTGATCTGATGTACAAATTGATTGCAGCTAGGTTAAATCTATTTTAATGGGCTAATTAATTAAATGAATTAATTAGATTAGTTATGCAAGTCAATTTCAAGAATGTAACTGGTTTAATATGACTAATAAATGATCTAAATAAAGGATTGGAATGAGTACCAAGTATTGTTAGATTAAAGTGAAACAACCACCATGAAGGTCCTGAAACCATCACAAATGACTTACTCAATAAGGAAGAGATACTGAATAGATCTCGCACACTCCTACATACTGAGACTTTACATCGTTATTAAGCATTTTATTCCTGCAGATACTAATTCTTGAGATTTGATCTAAATATTAGTTTATATTAATAACCAATACCAAGTTTGTTAAATGCAACCATCTGATGTTTTATATCCCTACTCATTTTGGTGCCTTATGAAGCACCACGTGTACTGTCATTCCGTCTAAGCCAACCTTTTTCTAAATAATTAATAAATATTTTGTCTTTGGAAACACTCAAGTAATAGTTGAAGATAAACATTTTTTTCTTGTCAAATTAAAAAGCTGGAGTCATGGATTTATTGATTTTCTTTATAAATTATTTATTTAACGTCTCTGTCAGCCATCTTACTTAGGAAAATTCTTGCATATAAGCAATTAACTATCTCGAAAACAAATAGCTGCAAGACAAAATTGATAATGTATGCAAAAACTGCAGATAATATAAATGATTTCCAGTTTCTTATTCATTATTCATTAGTATGTTGACTTTCAGATGGCCAAGTATTCACTAATGATTACACTACATCATTGCTGCAAATCGTAAGACAACTGAGGATGTTTACATTTTACTGAGCATAATAATAACTTTCTTGAACCATACACTTTTATAACAGTGGCACACACTATCAAGTGGTGTGTTCACAATAAAACATTAAGTTCATTTGTACATTAAGACAGTAAATTTTAAAAAACGTAATGGTGATAAGGCTTAACATCAATATGAAGTACAGTATATAAATAAAAATATCTACTGTTTTTAAATAATAATTTTTTCTCAGTGCAGAATAGCTTTAGCGGCACAGATACAACTTGTAATGTTATCAGAGTATTTGAGTGTTTCACAAGTAAGGAGCATAATGATGTGTACACCTCAATAATGTGGAAAATAAATGCCTGTGTAATGGTAAATGTACGTGTCATACGTCCTTACTTCAATTTAATGTATTCTCTCATCAAATCTCGTCTCATTCTTTGAGGAGTTCTGAGCTCATATTGGCTTGTGCTTCTATTATATTGCTGCCAATGCTATGGTAATTCTAATTGTGCTATTGGAAACCAATAAATGCACACAAAATTGAGAAGCAATAAAAGTGAATGCATTTGTGAAAGTGCATGAAAGCGTGGATTACCTGGGGGATGGGTTCAAGGGAAAGTGCCTCATTTGCCAACATCCATGAAATCTTTTGTGAATTTAATATTTTAAAGCTTCAATTTTTGGATAGACAGAGAGCATTTGATGGATTGATGGGACACTAGGAAACTAATACATTTCAATTGATGTGACTGTTTATCAGTTGTTTAATGTTTTATTGGGCAAGATAATTCACATTGTCCATGGAGTGAACAGTAATTGTCTTGTATCACATGGCCCACAGGACAAACAACTCTAGACAGTCTAAGAACATTTTAGTTTTTTTTTTAATGAATGTTATTGTTTTTTTATTTATTTATATCAACAATATTTTAAGTAGTTGACATTCCAGCAGGGTGCTTACTTAGACAATAAAAAATGTATATTTAATTACAGATTAACCAAATTCTGGAATCTACCTAATAATATAACTGGCCTCCCAAAATATGATAATTTCAAACCTCAAAAAATTATTTTAATCTTTATGTAATTATAAAATTCATAAAATTTAATAAATCTTTTACCCTAAAATGAGATTTTTCTTTTACTTTATAGATGGCTTTGTATTACTCTGAAATTTTAAGTTTAACTCCTGTTTTTAAATTTTATTTCTTTATCTCATAATTTTTACTTAATATTTAACTGTACACTCGTTCGTAAGTTTATATTGATTTTGTAATTACTTTACTCTACTCTAAATTGAAAATTTAACTCTTGTTTTACATTTATTAGTGCAAGTTACTTTTATTGATTATATGTTCTAATTTACTTTCTACAATGTGTACTTTAGTTCTGCAATGGAACATTTTACTTTAGTTAACTTACTTAATTATTAATTGTATATTTTGTTAATTTTTGTGTTTAACTGTACCACTTTTGCAAAAGTAACTTTGTACAATGTATTACATTGTGCAAATTTACTTCTTGAGACAAATAATACATATTGTTTTTATTTGTTCACAGTTTACCAACAAGGTAGTGTGCCAAGCTCATCAAACATTGTAATTATATTTTTTTCTATTAATTACAGGTGATCTTTTTGATATGCTACTACCAATGTTAAGTATTTACAATGAATATGTTCGCAACCACCATTATAGTCTACAAGTTTTAGCAGAGTGCAAGCAGAGACCTCTGTTTAGTCAGCTGCTGAAACAATATGAGACAAAGCCCTCCTGTGAAGGCCGGTCCATGGAGATATTCCTAACTTATCCTATGCACCAAGTCCCCCGCTACATCCTCACACTCCACGAATTACTTGCACACACCCCTCATGACCATGTCGAACGAAAAAGTCTGGAATATGCGAAGAACAAACTTGAAGAATTGTCACGAGTAAGTTAATGGTTATTAATCTTATTGTTATTTTTATTAGTATTTTATACAGCACTGTTTTACAGGAACTCATTTCATTTGATTGATTTCATTTTCAACCAACAAATATTAAAATACAAAGTCATCACATGGAGATCACATGGAGATCACATGGAGATCACATGGAGATCACAATGGGGATTACAATGGGGATTACAATGGGGATTACAATGGGGATTACAATGGGGATCACAATGGGGATTACAATGGGGATTACAATGATAAAAACTTAATTTGCTATAGCTTTCATTCTACTCCCTCCCCTTGTCACTCATCCACATGCATAAATGCATGTATACACATAATAATGTACAGCAACCCTCTTCCCCTGTCACTCAGCCACATGCGGATCCCCTTCCCCTATCACCCAGCCACATGGATAAATGCATGTAGGCCTACAGTATTATACACATAATATGTACAGCGACACCCTCCCCTGTCATTCAGCCACATGCATAAATGCATGTATACACATAATATGTAAATCGACCCCTCCCCTGTCATTCAGCCACATGCATAAATGCATGTATACACATAATATGTAAATCGACCCCTCCCCTGTCATTCAGCCACATGCATAAATGCATGTATACACATAATATGTAAATCGACCCCTCCCCTGTCATTCAGCCACATGCATAAATGCATGTATACACATAATATGTAAATCGACCCCTCCCCTGTCATTCAGCCACATGCATAAATGCATGTATACACATAATATGTAAATCGACCCCTCCCCTGTCATTCAGCCACATGCATAAATGCATGTATACACATAATAATGTACAGCAACCCTCTTCCCCTGTCACTCAGCCACATGCGGATCCCCTTCCCCTATCACCCAGCCACATGGATAAATGCATGTACAGTATACACATAATATGTACATCAACCCCTTCCCCCTGTCACTCAGGCACATGCATAAATGCATGTATACACATAATATGTAAATCGACCCCTCCCCCGTCGCTCAGGCACATGCATAAATGCATGTATACACATAATATGTACAGTGATCCCCCTTCCCTGTCATTCAGCCACATGCATAAATGCATGTATACACATAATATGTAAATCGACCCCTCCCCTGTCATTCAGCCACATGCATAAATGCATGTATACACATAATATGTACAGTGATTCCCCTCCCCTGTCATTCAGCCACATGCATAAATGCATGTATACACATAATATGTACATCAACCCCTTCCCCCTGTCACTCAGGCACATGCATAAATGCATGTATACACATAATATGTACATCAACCCCTCCCCTGTCACTCAGGCACATGCATAAATGCATGTATACACATATGTACAGCATACATATTATCATTGTCAATAAAAAGAATCTGATTAGTTGAGACTAGATTAATTTAATACAACATACACACAAAGTGCATCTGCAAGTACAAGTACTTCAATTAAACATACATGCATAAATGCATTTCTAAGTACAAGTGGAAATTCCCAGTAAATTACCACAAGTTATCCACTTCGTCTGTATTTCATATAATGTGTACTTTGCAGTCCTATGTCATTATACTACATATACTGTATAAATAATTGAAGTAAATATATAAAACATATTATTCTGGTTAATACTCATTTATTTTAACACATGAAAGTCAAATTTAAATATTGTAAACATCAAATATTGATTATCAACTACATTTATGAAAGATATACCCTCAATGTTGAGCTAGTAAAAAACAAACATTAATATGAAATATTTGAAACAATTAATTTGTATGAGGTTTTAACAAAAAAATAACCGAAAGTGTTTCAAATGCGTGCACTTAACCTTATATTCAAGACATAGACCTTTAAGTTGGCTGTGTGTTAATTAAGAGTATTTCTAATAAAGCATCTCTACCTTCATATTCAAGACATAGACCTTTAAATTGGCTGTTAATTAAGAGTATTTCTAATAAAGCATCTGCAAATCAGTGGTCTCTGTCACACGTAGAGTTATTAACTTGATCCTTTTGAATAAAACAATTTTGATTACTATAATTAAATTCATTATTAATAGTCTAGCCAAATAAATCTATATGAATTATTTTAATATTTATTATTATTAAGTAATAACTATAATAATTTTGTATATAGTAATAATTTTCAAAATTATGTATAAAATAACATTTGATTAATAAAGGAAAGTAGTGTAATGTTCCTAGTTGAGTTACTGTGAAATTTATTGGGGCACTTTTAGAAGGGGCAGTGCACTGCCCCTGCTGGGAATTTAGGATTACACTGGGAGAAAATCCTTGCTTTTTTGCAATCAGTGTTTGTGTTGTTTTACAGGTAATGCATGATGAAGTATCAGAAACAGAAAACATCCGCAAGAACTTATCAATTGAGCGTATGATTGTAGAGGGCTGCGACATCCTCCTCGACGTGCATCAGACGTTTGTTCGACACGGTAGGCATTTTATTGCGAAATAAACATGATCATAGATATGTAACTGATTCCCTGCGGAGCAATTCCCTATGGAGTGGAGGTGGTAAGGTGTTTGCATGATTGGTTATGTATCCAATAACTGATGATAATCATATGGTTGTGTTATCAGATTAGGTTTCAGTATATTTCAAAAACTACATTACTTAGAAATGGTGTAGTTTATTGTTTAGCAATACATATTTATCATAATTTATTTTACAATAAATTTTATAATTGTTAAGCTCAAAATTATCCTCATCTTTTCATCACTTATCATTTAAAAAATAATATTGAAATTTTGATTATTTAAATTGTTATCGTCATTGTTGTAATCAACAATGTTGCTACCAAAATTTACAATGTTACGATACTTATCTGTGTCGAATTACTATCCAATTATACTTATTAGGTGCATAGTCATCATTATCATCATCATCATCAGTATCATCATTATTTAATTTAATATGTTCCATGATCATCATGATCATCAAAATCATTGTCATTATAATTGTCACCATCATCATTATTGTAGTCATCATCATCAGAGTCATCATACTGTAGTTATTATGCATCAGTATCATCAGCGTTATCATCATAACCTTTAACACTATCATCAACATCATGATTAGCGACATCATTATTATCACCATTATCTTCATTATTTTCATCACCATTATCACCATCATTATCATCACCATTATCTTCATTGTCATCATCACCATTATCACCATCATTATTATCACCATTATCTTCATTGTCTTCATTGTCATCATCACCATTATCACCATCATTATTATCACCATTATCTTCATTGTCATCATCATTATTATCACCATCATTATTATCACCATTATCTTCATTGTCATTATCACCATTATCACCATCATTATTATCACCATTATCTTCATTGTCACCATCATTATTATCACCATCATTATTACCACCATTATCTTCATTGTCATTATCACCATCATTTTCATGACCATCCTCAGCATCATCATAATGTTGTGCAAAAGATGTTGTTTTATGTATTTAGTTTTGCCAATTTATAAATAATGGACAAAGTTATCTTGAATATTGGTTGTAAATGTTATATATATGTACATGTTTAAAATGAACTATTTAGTATCTTACTATTTGTTTATGTTATTAATTATTGTTAATGTTTTGTGTGATCTTTGATTCAGCTTTTGTTAAAAGGATTTCTCATGAAAAAAATTTGAATAAATATAATTTTTTTTTGGAAAATGAATTATAACTTAAATTCTTTAAAATGTCAATACAAAATCACAAGCACACAGTGTTACCATTCATCTACATTTGTTTTACTTGAAGGGAGCCTAGTACAAGTTGTTCATGAACGAAAGATGAGTCGAAGCCGTCTTGGTTCACTGGGAGCCAAGGGAGAAACCAAAAAGGAAGGAGTCCGCCAGTGTTTCCTCTTCACAAAGCATTTACTTATCACCATGCGAACTTCAGGAGGCAAACTACATCTTTGTAAGGTTGGTAGACAGTGATGCTAACTTGATATATTTCTAATTCTGAATCAGTTTTTAAGCTGGTCCACCCTAATTCCAAATCATATTTCACTCTGGTCAACCCCTAATTCTGTACCATTTTCCACTCTGGTTTAATTCAGAATGTTTGTCACTCTGGTTTAAGCCCATCCCCAATACTTGATGTTTTCACTCTGGTTTAAGCCCTCTCACTAATTTTTAATGTTTTACTCTGGTTTTAAGCTTACACCTTATTGTGAATCATTTCCACTCAGGTTTAAGCCCATCCCCAATTCTTGATGTTTTCACTCTGGTTTAAGCCCATCCACTTATTTTTAATGTTTCACTCTGGTTTAAGCCCACACCCAAATTGTGAATCATTTTTATTCTGGGTTAAGACCACACCCAAATTGTGAATCATTTTCATTGTGGTTTAAGGCCATCCCCTAATTTGAAATGTTTTCGCTCTGGTATAAGCCCAGACCTAATTCTGAATCATTTTCATTCTAGTATAAGCCCATTCTGTAACTTTCTAATTATTATATTCTCTGACTCTGATTTATATTTATATATGAAGCCAATATCCTAATTCAAAATAATTTCCCACTCTGGTAAAATATTAATATTACAGTTCAGTGAAATTAATGGTTGAATGTGTTCAGAGTTTTTTTTTTTTTTTATTGTAGTTATAAAATAATTGTCTTCTATGTTATTGTTAATTCTAGATTGGTGGTAAAATTGGTTTAATGGAAACCACTCTCGTTGAAGATTATGATCCATTCGATGATGATGGTGAATATTCATAACTTATTTGATAATAGTTTACTGATTAAAAAAAATAATCAAAAAATTAAAATCACACCTATCATAACTTTTTTCATTTCGTTTTTATCACTAATTCCTTGCTAAAACTTAATTCTTTACTATTCAAATAACTCTAATTTAGTTTTATAAACTTCATTTCCTCTATCCTCCTTCCTTCCTTATCTTCTTCAATTCTTAAACTCGTATCTCTCCTTCCTCAATTCTTTAATCCGTATCTCTGTCCTTTTTCAATGTCGTCAATTTTTCAACTCAAGAATCTCCTTCCGCTTCAATCCTCTTCAATTCCTTATTGCAGATCACTTTTTCCTTTTCATATTTTTAACACAACTCTCTCTTTTTCTCATCTTGATTCTTTAATCCATATCTATCTTTCCTCCTAAATCTTCTTGAGTTTATTAACACAGATCTCTCCATCCTTGATCCTCTTCATCTTTAAAACATATCTCCACTCTTGTATCCCTATATCCTTTTCACTTCTTAACTCATATCTCTCCTTTCATCATCCTACTGCCTTTAACCCAGATTTCATTATCCATCATCATTTCTTAACCCAAATATTTTCTCCCTCCATCATCTTTAATTCTTTAACCCAGATCTGTCCTGCTCCTTTCATCCTATTCATATCTTTAATCCAATCTTTCCTTCCTTTTTTCCTCATCTTCAGTTTTTTGATTCAGATATTGTCTTCCTTCATATTCTTCAATTCATTATCAAAATATGCCTACTTCCTCATCAACTGTAAGTCTTTAACCCAGATTTCTTTTTCCCCTTTTATCATCTTCAGTTCATTAACCTACATTATTTTGAGTTCTTCCATTCTCCTTTACCATCCTTGTTATCTCTGACTTTTAATTTAATGACTTCCTCCACAGGTGGTTGTAGTCCATCTGAATATGATAATTTAGATTTCAAGTTGATAGTGGAACCGAAGAATTCACCCCCATTAGAGATTATCTTGGTAGCATCCACACAGCAGGATAAAGCAGCCTGGACCAGTGATATAAGTCAGGTATTATAATTACACATTCCCCTATGAAGTAAATTGAGGTAATAATGAAGTATTGATACAGTCCAAGATTTTGGTATTGGCTAGTTGATTGTACCTAAGACATTGCTTTGTAACAGCTAGGAATGCTGGCCTCTTTCAGTGATAACATTCATACCTTTATGTTTATTTAATTATTGTTTGTTTGATTTTTAAAACAATTTGGTCTTGACGTAGCAGTGCTATATAAATGCTTAGAATTAAGAGAATTAATGCAAATATTGGCGTCATAGAAGCCCTAGGAAATGCTGGAACTCATTAGAAACAGTCTATGGTGATGTGAATTTGTATGCATGCATAAAGTGTGTTTCCACCTATTTAAGTTTGAGTGTTCTGATTACAGCTACCTATTGTTAGTAAATCTATTTGATAAATGGTCAACTAAGATGTTCAAATTGGATTAAATTTACTTGAAACTATTTCAGCTAAGATGTTAATTAACTGTGATGGTAATTTTCTTTCAGTGTATCGTCAATTTGCATTACAATGGATTATTAGATACATACTCTTTAGACAGCAGTAGTTCATCAATTCATTTACCACAGTGTATCAAGTAAGCTTCAAATACATTCTGTTCTTTATGTGTCTTTGTGTTATGATGTCTACCCCCTTGTAAATTTCATCCAATCATGTTCCATCATAATTTCTGGCATTGACCAAAGATTGACTTGAACAAGCATGTTAATGTTTTCACCATTATAACATTTATTATTACAAGAAAAAACATTTGATTTTATTTCATATTTTTAAGGCTTTTTAGTCTGGATTATTGTTCACACTTGATCATTTTTTAAGGTATTACTTTTATTTTAGTTATTTTTTATTTTTATTATATTATTTTTGTGAACTTTTTTTTGTTAAATCATTTAATTATGGTACTTTGTTAGCACCAAGATTGAGGTGCTATATAAATCAAGAATTTTTCATTTTACAAATATTAATAATATTCTCATTATTAGTGTTACTGATATTATTACCCCTTTTTTTTTCTTATTACTCTCACTTTTAATAATTGTAATTGTTATTATTTTATATTATTGTGATTTTTCTGAATAAAAGGTCTATTGACAATGTCAAAATTCATACACACCCCAATTACACATAGCCAGTCAATAATAATACTGTATAATAATAATTATAGGTTGACAATGGTAATGGGAGTAAGATGACTTCTTGATGTGGGTATGGTTTTGAATAGACAGAGGTCTTAAGTAACATTTCAATTTAGGCAATTTACTATAAAGCTATTATGTTACATTCATAAAAGGTTGGTAAAATTTTATGAGCTTTAAATCCATTCTTTTCAAAAAGCATAGCTTGTAAAAAACAAAAACCATATTGCCTTAATAAATACGTAATCAGGCAATTGAATGTAATATTGTTGGTAGAATATTTGGTGTCTAAAATAATTACATCCTTCAGCATATTAGTACATCAATTATTGATGAATGTGATTTGTAGAATTGGACCAGAATACTTATGTGCATGATACCAAATAAGCTTATTATCCGTAATAAATCCCAAGTAAGCAATAGCTATTCCTAAGATAATCAGAGCAGACTCACTGCATTTATCGTGCTCATTTGCATGGCACACTCACCGCTTTATTTCAGATATAGATATTTAAGGGACAGGTGTTGTGGATATACTTATTAACGTAATCACCTGGTTTTAGCTTTTCAATCATCATGTCCTCCTCAAAATATTGGACAGTGTTTTCTGGTAGGTAAAGCCGATCTCATAAGGACTCTAAAAAAGGAGCATACCAGTTGGGTATATAGAAAGGGGAGTGATAGTGGTTTTAAAGTGAAGATGTCTGTTAAATTAATTTATTGTAAGCAAGTTATTAGATTTATATATAAGGTAGATATAATTTTATTATTTTAAAATATATTAAAAAGTGCATAGAGTATTAGATATGATATAGAAATATACTAAAGCAACTACAATAAAATAATAGAAGAAGCATATAGGTAATTTACCTAATACAAATAAATGTACCAAACTGTGTTGGGATTTAATATTTCAACATTAATTATGTCATCATCAGGAATGATGAGAATAGGACTAGAGTGAGTCCAAAGTGGAGTAATAGTGGTTTTAAAGTGAAGATATCTGCTATTAACTTCTGATGATATACACATTTAATTACACAAAAGCAGTACTTACATACTTGCATGCTTGTACACTTATAAATATTGATAAGTGCATTACGATACCTATTTGTATATTTGCACTTTCCTTTACAAGTGCAATACTGTACCAATAAACACACATTGCAGCTTATACTTTTCTCAACATTACTGAATTGTATCATGCTTGTACACTTATAAATATTGATAAGTGCATTAAGATACCTATTTGTATATTTGCACTTTCCTTTACAAGTGCAATACTGTACCAATAAACTCACATTGCAGCTTATACTTTTCTCAACATTACTGAATTGTATCGATATAAATACTGCCCTCACAGTTTGCATGATGTGATAATTTCCCATTTTAGACCCTCCTTCTATGGCGTTTTGTTATTGTTAGCTTTGTTACGATATACTGTCTGTGCTATAATCAGGAAACCACTTAAATAAGAAATTGAATTTATTATTTAAAGGGAACAAATTAGATTAAAACAATTAATTTGTTTGCTGGTTTACAGACTGTTATTTACCATGAATATTCTTACAATTATTAACAGATAGTCTTTGTCCTATACCAAGGACATCAACGGATTATTTATCTGTAATTTGGTGAGGAATATATGTCTTATTCTTAGTTTCAACTGAAAGCTAATTAAATATACAAATTAACATTCAAATAGGAATTTTTATTTTTTTTTTATAAGCTCAAAGACAGTGTATCTGTAAATGTATTCATAACGTTCATTGATCCCCCCCCCCAAAATTTTGCGTTTGATCAAGGTTCATAGGAACCACATAGTCACCACACAAAGGCATTGTGTCCACCAGTTTGCGTAGAGAAAATTGTTCCCCAGAGTCATGGCATGTTTGAATCTTTATTGTTTTATAATTATTGCATGTTTTTTTTAAAAATAAAAATTAAAATTTAAATAGGAATTTTTATTTTTTTTTTATAAGCTCAAAGACAGTGTATCTGTAAATGTATTCATAACGTTCATTGATCCCCCCCCCCAAAATTTTGCGTTTGATCAAGGTTCATAGGAACCACATAGTCACCACACAAAGGCATTGTGTCCACCAGTTTGCGTAGAGAAAATTGTTCCCCAGAGTCATGGCATGTTTGAATCTTTATTGTTTTATAATTATTGCATGTTTGTGTTTTCATTCCTCCTAAGCCCTAGACCGAGGCGTCTTGCCAGTGACCCTTCACACGACAGTCTACACCTTAGGTATTACAACCTTTTGAACATTTTTTTTTTGCATTTAATATTTTCTTTAAATATATTTTTGTTAATTTGTTGCTCGCTCGTGTTCACATCACAATTACACTATGAGTTTAATATATCGGTCTGCTTGTGTATCCTAATAAAAGTAATGAACAAATCAGCCATTATATAGTTATATAGCTAATGGATGAATACAAAGCAGTTTTTTGTGATGTGATAACCTGAGAGTTTGCTTTTATTATTACACTGCTACCTAGTGTCTCCTGCAATTTATTATCATTAATTATGCATGCATGTTTTTAGAGACACCTGTATATTGGTGGCTAGTTTACTAATCATCCTTTATGCAATATCTGTTACTGCCATCATTTCCCTTATCACTTGAACTCTTCCATGCTTTCTAACAACAGTTAATTTTCTGGTTAATGATTTATAACATTACATATTTCTTTCATTTTACATTTGTTCAGCTTTTTAAAAAGTCTGCCTCTTCTAGGGTTTTTAAAATTACTGTTATCTTTTTACTGTTTGCCTAATTTAACAACTGCTATATAACTTACATTAATTTTTTTCTTCATAAATTAATTAACTTTCTATTATAGTATTATAATTTATTTGATATTTCTTTTGGTACAGAGTCTTCAGTATACTTTTGTTAAATAAATTAGTATTTAATATTTAACATAAACATTCAATATACAGTACTTTGCATGTAGAGGTAAATATAGGTCAAAATGAACAATTAATGTTAACTAAGTCTTTGTCTTTTTCTAATCATTAAATTAATATAATTCATTTCTGCTTTTAATGTTTAATGTGTAGAAAGAATGTTTGTATTCTTTTCAATTTTTTTTTTCAATTTATTCAAGAAACTTCTATAAGGAAGGTTAAGTTTTACAACATACATTTAATGTCATATCAATTCAGTGTTTTTATCATTACTAGTATTTTTATTATTACTAATTATTTTTCTGATTATAATGTTTCATATATAATTTCATATATTGTTGGTATTTATGAATGTCTCTTCTATTTTTTTTAAACTTATTTTTAAGTAGCTTTTCTTAAATATAAATGTTCAATTCATATTTAAATTAATGAATCGTTGTATTGGCTATTGAAATCTGAATAATCTGTAAAGTCTCTGACAAAGCGAAAGACTATGATGAAAATATCCATGTAACATACGTTTTTTTTTAATGACTCAAGCAGTATAACATCAATATGGATTTGTTTTAAAATAGTAATAAATAGTTTAACATGGTTCAATCAATGAATCATTATTTTGAATAATAAATGCAAATATTGTGTTGGAAAAGCTTATTATAAATTCTTTTTAATGCTTGAAATTTCTCTGTTAAATTGTTGTTATATATGAATTTGACCTTACAGATCAGACGCACGTCTTTTCAAAGATGACGTGGATATTCGCTTCAGTAAGATGCTTAATTCCTGTAAAGTCCCTCAGATTCGGTATGCAACTTTTGAACGTCTTGTAGAGCGGTTGACAGATCTGCGTTTCCTTAGTATAGATTTTCTCAACACATTCCTTCTGACATATCGCATCTTTAGCTCGTGGGATAAAGTTCTTGAGACATTGAAGAATGTCTACAGAAACCCAGATGCTGCGGAAAGGTTACTAAAGTAAGCCACATCAATATACTTCTTAATTTTTGTTAATTCACTTGAAAGCACATTGTTACATGGACTTCATGTTTTCTACATATCATTACTGGATAGTAAAGTATTATCTTATCTTATAATAGTTAGACACAACATAAAAATATCATAACCACACTCAGACACATGAAGTGTTATTATTTCAATTGGACACAACATTAAATTTATTACTACAGGTAGACACATGATTAAGTACTACAGTTAGATATAACATTAAGTTTTATTACTACAGTTAGAAACAACATGAAGTACTACAGTTAGGTACAACATTGTTTATTACTGCAGTTAGGTACAACATTATGTACTACAGTTAGACACAACGTTAAGCAACATAATCACAGGTATTAGTACTACAGGTAGACACACTATCTTATGAGTATTATTACTACAGGTAGACACAGCATTAACTTTATTACTACAGTTAGACATAAACATTAAATAAAATTACTACCATTAGATCCAACCACACTTAGATACATGACAAAAGATACTTAGAACATCTTAAATTTATCAACACATCCTCCATCAGTAATACCTGTAAATTTAATTTCTGTCATTCTTTTCGTCGTATTTGGGAGGAACTAGGAACTGATATTCGTAATGAGCTTCTTACTAGTCTCCAGTCATTTTTAAATAAAATCAAAACATTTTTGAATTAAATCAATTATTGGCATAAACGAACCCCTTATTGTAAATTAGTGCTTTTTTAAAATATTTTTGTATTTTGTTTCGTCAGTTGGATTTGGAAAGCTCCATGAAAGATGATCTACGATTAAAACGCTTCTGAGAAATCCTGTCCAGCTCGACAGTCTTGTTTCTCTATTTTGTTTGCAAAATGTTATGTTGGACAAAATAAATGAAATGAAAATGAAACATTAAGTATTATTACTACAGTTAGATACAACATAAAGTATTATTATTACAGTTAGACACAGCATTAAGTATTATTACTGCAGGTAGACACAAGTTTATTAGTACAGTTAGACACCAACATTAAATAATGTTACTACAGTTAGACCCAACATTAAGTATTATTACTACAATTACATACAACATTGTCATATAGGTAGACACAACATTAAGCATTATTACAAAAGGTAGACACAGCATTAAGTATTATTACTACAGTTAGACATAATATTAAGCAAATGAATCACAGTTAGACATAACATTAAGTTAATCCACAATCAGACACAAGCCAAAGTTACATGCAACATTAAATAACATTACCCCAAGATGCAATATAAGTAACATAATCTGCAGTCAGGCACAACATGAGTTAACCTAACTACAGCCAGATACAAAAAGTACAGGTGCAGCATTAAGTAACATACCACAATCAAACATATTATCTTAAGTAACATAACCACACAGACGATGATAGCATTAAGTAACATACTTAATCACAGTCAAACACAACACCATATACTATAACCTCAGTGAGACAACATAAGTGATATTACAGCATTCAGACAGTTGTATAAGCTGTTCATAAGATAATGTGATTAATGGTGCATTTATTATTGCCAATTGAAGATAAATTACCTGCTTTCTTGTCTGCTGCCTGCCTTAATTCATCCTTTTTTTATATTGTGTTTTGATATATTGTGTGTTTTAAAACAATTCATTCATCCATATTGAATAAACTTTTAAAAATGAAAGGATCTTTAAATGGCTGTATGCCTTGATGATGAATTTGTTTCTTCCGTTATACCATTAAAAATTACGTTAATGTACAAAGTCAGCAATTCAAGTACTGTATTCAGTTAATTTTTTCACTCTTTAGCTCATCATATACTTTAACACATGTTTCTCAATGTAAAATATTATTAATTTGTGTTGATAGTGTGTGTGAGCAGCCTTCAAGTCCAAGGAAGTTACCGCAGACCCCTGAAGTAAATGGTGGTCCCAGATCGCCACAGACTGCCACCCCTAAATCACCAACTGGCATCACAGTGGTTAAGACTTCATCAGAAACGAGCAAACCACGGTCATTTGACTCCAATTCCAGTGCTCGTATCCATCCCTTTAGGAAAAGTTTCATGAAATGCAAGTATCATTTTTTTAAAATAATTTTTGATTAAATTAGATTCATAATTGTGAAATAAATTAAATTCTGTGTATTTAGAAACCACTTGGTTTGGTTTGTTTATTCATGTTGTATAGCCTGCCCTCTATGACAACTATAATTTTACTACTTTTAGACCATGTACAACATTTTATTGTTATTAGGAGGATACACATTTTTTTTTTATTATACATGTTATATAAATGTTTGATTTAACATGTTGTAAAGGCTCTTTATATCAATTATGAAATTATTCTCATAACTTTGATAATTTCCATGAGTACAGGTCAAAACATTTGCAAACATTTTTTTATAGGTAGATTTTACATAATGATGATATAATCAAGTTGTTATTTGTAGTATTATCGTGTGATTAGATAAGTGTGCCTACCAACACTATGTTGTTATACAAGGAAGATGATTTTCAGTTGAACGAATATATAGCATCATATTAAATATTAACAAATTTTGTTATTTATGTATCTCATTAAATATGCGTAATCAAAGAAATTGGGTATGTAATGAAGTTGCCAACAACTGTTCCTATTGATTAAATTAATTTAGGCTGCAATGAAGAGTAATTAATGAAATAATGCTGTGACATAGAAACTCAATGCTTTTTTGTACACCTTGACTTACATTTTCTAAGTACCTCATATTTAATGAATCCTTCATTATTTTTCATATTTCATAAAATATCTAATGAACACCTTTATGAGCGTTGTACTGCCAGGCCCCTCTTATTAGAAGTCTTGGAATCGAAATGGCTATTACATGGTCAAATCTTGAGACAAAACAAAAACAGTTGTACAAACCTAGCAATCAACTTTTACTTTATCGAGACCAAACAACAGAAACGTCAGGGGACGTCCAAGAGCTACTATAATTACAACTCGCCAACACTCAATGTCCATCTCAACTAAAAATTTTAAATGACTTAGAGAAACTAAGAACACTAGCACAAAAAAGACCTTATATGGAAAAAGCTCATCAAGCAACTACGTACTAAGTAAAGCGGGTAAATGGAACTGTCGGGTTGAATTTTTGGTGACGCAGCTATGATGATTTCATGTTGTACCACTTTGTAGTACCGCACATTTTACAAGAATCCTGTCTAGAATGTATCCTTCCTTTATTCCACATTTCATGTTGTACCTCTCCTTATTGTACACACTTTCTAAATACCTCATCTTTAATGTATCCAGTTAGACACTAAAATTAAGTATTACTACTACAGTTAGATATAACATTAAATTTTATTACTACAATTGGACACAACATTAAGTATTATTACTACAGGTAGACACAACATTAAATATTATTACTGGAGTTACAGCTCAACTGAAAATTAAAAATGACATGGAGAAACTAAGAACACTTGCACAAACAAACCTACTGTATATGGAAAAAGCTCATCATGGAACTAAGTAAAGCGATTGAATTTTTAGTGACACGGAGATGATGATGGTTTCATTTTGTACCCCTTTGTAGTACCGCACATTTTCCAAGAATCCTGGCTTTAATGTATCCTTCCTGATCTTGAATACTGTGCAAGCTTGTTACCCTTACATGAAAAAGGATATTCAAAAATTAGTGAAAGTACAGAGACGAGCTACCAAATTGGTGAACAGTATCAAATCAGATCCTTATGAAACAAGACTCAAGAAATTGAAATTGTATCCTTTAGCAGTTAGAAGATTAAGAGGAGACCTTATAGAAGCATTCAAGATCATTACAGATAAAGAGAGCATTGACAGCTCCATCTTTTTTTCATCTAATCCTGCTAGCATCACTCGTGGTCACAAATATAAAGTGTATAAGCCATCTATGAATAAAGGCCTAGAAATCAGAAAGAACTTCTTTAGTTAGAATCATCAAGCATTGGAACAATCTCCCACCCAACATTGTTGAAGCAACTACTGTAACTATATTTAAAAAACAACTGGACCAACATTGGTTGAACAAGGATGCTGACACCATATTTGGCAGTATGGTATAAATGAATGTGGGTCTCAAGAGGCTGAATAGCCTATTCAATTATACCCACACACCCAATAAGTTGTAAGTTCCTTTATTCCACATTTCATGTACATCTTCTTTGTTCCACACACCTTCCTTTATGCCACAGAACTTTCTTCTATCCTTTTTCACTCCTCATTCATTTTTTGTACCCAATGTCCTTGTACCCAATGTTTGTTCCCCATACTTTCCTATATTCACCTTGTATTTTTTTTGTGTGTTCCACATGCTTTCCTTGTACCCTTTCCTTGTTTTTCTTTTGTGGGCCTCATGTGCAAGTGTAAACTTGTTGACATCGCATCATTCCACATTTTATGTACCATCATTATTATGCATTTTTTGTGTGTAGCAAAAACTGCTATGCACTTTTTGTGTTGTGTAGGAATTCCAAAATTGTGCATAGCATTTTTTTCTGCGGTGGTAGTGAATGATTTTTAAAGAAAAGAAATGACAAATTTTTCTATAAAAAAATCATAGTGATGCGTCTTTTTTTTTCTTTCCCAACACTAAAAGTATTTAAAGCCCCATTCCCGGCAAAATTTCACTAAAAATGACTTTTTTTAGAAAATATGCATTTGCATTACTCCAATTATTATAAATCATGGAAAAATATTGGCATGAATTTTAGTTTTACGCAAAAGACTAAAAAAAATGAGAAATACAGACT